TGTCATCTCTTGAAAAAGGCTTCCCCAGAACTCTGGCACTGATCTCTACCTCCCCCAACCTCTTCCCACCTCTCCTAATTGCTGCTGAACTGTAGGTATTACCTCCCTATTCTGAACACTCCTCCAACTTTTTATACTTTGATAGCACTTATTGTGTGCCTCACATTATGATTATGCCTGCGTTTCTAGCATGAGACTCTTGAGGATTCAGCTCTAACCAATTCATTTGTGTGTTCCCGTATCACCCAACACCATTCCTTACCTATGATTGGTGTCCAGTAAATGTTTTCTGAGTGTTTAAATGGAGACCCATTGATTTAACATTTTCTTTATGGTTGTTTTTCCTCTTGAGGCTCATGATTCAACACTAACATAGTGGGAGCCTAATTCAGTGAGATGTTCTGCAGGATTCATATTACATTCTAAATAGAATTCACAAGATTCTGCCTTTCTATAGACAATCCAATTGTTCTCCCATTATTAGTAGCTTTCTAGTTACATAAATCTTTCACTTGCACTAGCAGAGTGGAACAAGACAGTCTTCTTTTGGCCATCACCCATTTCTACAACTCTGAATACAGGTTCCAGATGTGGCTTTTCTATTTCCTGTTCCAGTTCACCGCGCAACACAGCAGAAATTAGTATTTCATAGTTATAAGACCCTAAAACTCAAATTTAGATGGCACACATACTCAGTCATGTTTACACTGAAGGGGAGAAATATGCAGTTTCATTGAAAAAAGACCATTGATCCAGAGGTCTTTTTCCTGATCACCTTTTGGTCTTTGGGTGCTGCATGGTATGTTGCTGATGAAAATACAAATACTGGTCCATGCAAGGAGGTCTGAGTTATACGGAAGGAATCAAGCATGTGATGTGGTCAATTTTATAGAGCGATGTACACAGCGCCAGAGGCAGATGCAGGGTAATGTAGAACACAGGTGCTTTCAAATAAAGTTCATTCTGCAGCAGTGTTCATGCAAATATCAATAATATAAGCATTATTTTATTGTTATCAAAACATTGGCATTGTTTATATCATATTTATTTATTATATGTGTGTATGTGAGGGGGCATTGTATGTTACGATACACACATGGAAGTCAGAGAAAAAGTTGCTGGAGGCAGTTCTCTCCATCCATCAGGAATCCCTAGGACCAAACTCAGGTAGGTCAGGCTTGGGGGCGAGCACTTTCATCTGCTGAGCCATCTTGCTGGCCTGGCGCCATTTTCTTTTTTTTTCTTCCCTTTTATTTTAATTTTTTTCAGGCATCATTTTCAAATACTGACTTCAAGCAGGATCTCAGCATTCATGTCAGGTGCTGAGACATGATTCAGCCAAGCAGTCATGCTTGGTTGGCCAAGACCTAGAGATAGACGTTCAATCCCTAGGGCTCAAGGGAATGAATCATCCATGGCGACACCAACAAAAGGGCAGTTTCCTTATGACTCATCGAGCCTAGCTTTCATGCCAATGATATTTTGGTGTAGTGATTTTACATTCTGCCTATAGCTTCAGGATTTCTAAGTGCATTAGCATAATTAGCCCAGCTGTGTAGATGACTCATTGGAGAGTGTTTTCTAAGTCTGTGACCCTACAGGAGTGGCGGGGCTGTGGTGGGGTGGGATTCTAAATTATAAATGGCCAAAGTTTGCAGTTGTAGATACCAAGTATTGATACAGCCTGTTTTTGGCTTCCTTCTCTCTGGGTCTCTTTGCATTTAGGAATACTCTTCCACTCATTGGAAATGCCTTGACAAGGATGGGGAGTGGTACAAATAAGAAGAAAGGGCAGACAAAATTAAGCCCACTTCAAATCTCTCCTCACTGGTGGCCCTGTGGAAGATTTGGATGAGGGAGGGCTAGGGATATTAGTTAGTATGTTGCTATATTGTTGCCCTGGATTCTTATGACTAACAGACAAAAGAACACGACAGCTTGAAGTAAAGATGACGATGGTAATGGTGGCTATATAACAAATATGTATCTTACCTCAATCCTAGGCATATTAGGTTGACTTAGGCATATGGAAATAAAAATGAATCCAAAACACAATGCAGGGTCGGGGAGAGAGAGAGAGAGGGCAGAGAGAGAGGGAGAGTGGGAGGGAAGGAGGGAGAGAGAGGTGGAGGAGGAGATGGGAAGGAGAGAAGAGGAGAGGAGAGGAGGAGAGGGGAGGGGAGGGG